GGGGGGGGGAGAGGGGGAGGGGGACTCAGTGCTGCTGTGCATGTGGCGGTGACCGAGACAGGAGCTACTGAACACACGTGCTGTGGGCGGGCCTGCACGTCTGAGGGCCACAGAGGAGAGGAGGAGGTGAGTTATCTGAGGCTCACACAGAGTCACAACTGCCTTCCTGGTTCTACACCTGCTAGGATTTGTCCTCCCAGACTCCTGTGCTGGGTGCTCGGTCCCCAGCCCGACGGTGACTGCAAGTGGTGGAACCTTTAGGAGGTGGACATAGTGACAGGCAGTCAGGCCCCGCTGGCCCCATGCCTGGGTGGATGCACGCTGTCTCTCGGAGGTCTAGCTCCCTCGGCCCTGGACTAGTTCCAGGGCACGCTATCATAGTGGGGCTGGACCTCTCCACTCCTGCGGCTCACCTGCTATGTGACACATCTGCCAGGCTGTGATGCAGCCAGGAGGCCCCGCCAGCAGCTGAGCAGGTGTGGCTGCCTGACCTTGAGCTTTCTGCCCCCCAAACTGTGAGCTAAGTAAACCTCTTTTCTTTACAAAGTACCTAGTGTCAGGTATTCTAGGGTTTTTTTGTTGCTTTTCAGGGGAGGTTACCAGAGATCGAACTCAGGACCTTGTGCTTGCAAGGCAGGAGCAGTGCCACTGGGCTACATCCCTGGCCCTAGGTATTCTGTCATAACAAAACACAGACTAAGACTTCTGGACCACAAATCCCAATGGTCTTTGATTGGAATATTCTCCTTTCTCATTTTCTTTCAAAAGGTGGTCAGTAAAAGCTGAGACCCATCCTTCCCTTGCCTCTGCATCTCCACAGTGCTCTGCATGATCTCTTTTCTGTGGATAATATTTTCCAAGTTGCTTTTAGCCATGTTGCAACCTGCTGTAGTTTTCTCATCTTCTTTTTTTAAATGTACATACATTATCCAAAGGCTGAAATCCTCACCTTTCCTAGGGGAACCAGGATGACTTCTGACTGACCATGAACACCCGACGTTTACTAGCAACAAGTGGCTCACAGTGTGTGTTTGTGAGCCTTTCTTCACAGGCCCTGGGGCTGTAGAAGAGGGTCTCCCTAAAGGTGGCTTCCTGCCACACATATGGTGATGCAATCTTAAATGACTCCCCCACCTCCACCCTGAAGAGGCAGGCGGTCAGAAGCCTGGATTTCCATGAGCGGGGTTGGCCCTGTCTGTCAGCAGCCTGAGGCAGGGGCCGAGTGTCCCTTGGGAAAGAACTGGACAACGGTGATCCTGCACCTGCTGGCTGTGAGGCTTTGGCCACAGTGATTCACGACACCACAGGAGTCAAGTTTCCCCTCAGACCAAGCCAGAAAAATCACACTGGTGCTATAGCCACAGTGGGAGAGAGAACTGAGAGCCTGGCTCTGGAGGACAATCCTGCTCATGTGTCCTGAGGTGTCATCATGTTCCACAGACATCTTCACTCATGTACGGCTCTCAGAACAGCAGACTAAGCACAAAGTCTCTTCTTGAGCAGTGTGGCTAGGGCAGGTCATGAATTATGAACAAAGTGGTGAGGGGGAGTTCCCAACTGCACATAACAGATAACCGGTACCCTGCAAACAGTGTGATCTTTACACACAGACACCTCCTACAAGGACGCACGCCGCACACTATGCTGGAAATGTGTCCAGTTTGTGATTTATCAACGTTTTGTTTCTCCAAGGCATAGCCCGCTGTGTCATGGCCTAATGAGATGACAAGGGCTCTGGTAGCACCAGACTAAATGAGAAGCTGTGGCTCCTGTTTGTTAACAAGGCTGCCACTCCAAAGGCAGAATGACAGCCTCTTTCCAAAATTCTGCTGAGCACAGCAGGACCCTCACTTACTGCAAGCCACCTGGAAGCTAAAAGCCACTTCATTCCAGTGGAGCCATTCGCGTGTGTAACTTATTCTTTGCCTCTTCACGGGAACACAATTAAGGGAACAAAGAAGGCCCGTTAAGCAGTTCACACTGTGTCAACTTAATACCCAGGCTTTACAGACAGGACTTTGTGTTCTGCAGGTTTACACACCCACCCCATCACTTGGGCAGCGCTGGAAGCTCGACTCCCTCGGGTTCCCATACAGCAAACGCTGTCGCAAAGCCTCAGGCCTGGCCCACAACACCCTCCCTTCCCAACCAGTGCTGGACAGGATCTCGGACTTCCAGCTGGAAACAAAGCCCCCTGGACCTGCTCTTACTTCATGCCTGGTTTCTGTGCAGGACAACAGGGACCAGGAAAACCACCCAACATCAAAGCCAGAAGGGACCCTCAGCGACACAGTCACAACAGGTGCACTTGGTTCTAGGCCTTTCTTTTGCAGATGACAGATCTAGTCCCAGAGAGGCCCAGGACTTGTGCAGGGTTACACTGAGAGCTCACAGAACAGGTGTGGCTGTAGAATTCAGTTCCTGATTCTGGACCAGATTGACCCTGGTTTCTCTGGCTTTCACTTTTTTCTCCATCCAATTTGGAACTCCTTCCCTCCCTCAGCTGTCTAACGAGAATCCCTGCTCATTCACAGACAATAATAACTGTCTTCCCAGTACAGGCCCCTACCATCTACGGGATTAAAATCTCACAGTAAAGCAATAATCTGCTCTTCGGCAAGCCATCCAGCTCCCTGTGTCACAGTGAATATGGCAATAACTGATTCTCAACAGAAAGGATTGTGCTCTTTACAAAATTACTTCTTAATCTTTCTCTTTCCTCTAGGGCTGGCAATAAATCAAAGCTGAAAAAAATTCTTTCTGCTGTATGGGAAGCACCACTGCTGCTGCAGAGAATAGCTACGAGCAGCCACCATGAACTGTGGCCAATGGAATGTCCAGTTGGGGTGTGGGTGGCTTCCGGGAAGAGAGAACTCAGCAGCTGCAACCCCCAGCAGGCCCAGCACATCCGCGCATGGAGAAGACCGCAGTCTGTCCCCAGGCAGCTGCAGCCCCTTCTGTGGGGCAAAAGCATCTCAACAGCAAGTGTGTGTGTGTGTGTGTGTGTGTGTGTGCGCCAGCTGCAGGATCAGGTCATAACCGCTAAGGTCTCCTGGAGCCAGGTGTGCTCCAGCTTCCCTTAAAGGCTGCTGTGGGTCATCTCATTATGGCAAACATCAGGGACAGGGACCCAATCACTGGGGCAGACGCCTGCCCAATACAAACCCTAAAGTCTGATGATGCCAGTGTCTCCTGAGTCAAGAGGTTTAGGGTGTTAAAGCTTTGTGAGTGTAAGAAAGAGAGATGGTGCCAGGTGTGGTGCTGCAACCTATAATCCCAGCACTGGAAGCAGGAGGACAGCAAGTTTGAGCCCAGCCTGGGCAGCTTCAAGACCCAGTGAGACCCTATCTCTTAAAAATTCAAAAGAGTTGGACAGGGATTTAGCTCAGTGGTTCCGCTGCCTGCCTTGCAAGCACAAGGTCCTGAGTTTGATCCCCAGTACCAAAAAAACCACAAAAAAACAAAATTCAAAAGGGCTGAGGGTGTAGCTCAGTGCAAGGACCTAATCTCTAGGAAAGAATAAGACAATGAAATAAAATGAAAAAATGAATGAAAAAAACAGAAAGAGGAGGAGGAGAGACTGCAACATTGAAAACAGCCCACTTTTGGAGATGAGCTATCCATTGGGACCATGGCATACACACAACATCCGCCAGGGTTGTCATTAAAAAGAGAGCTCAGCACATCACCTACATATTCACAGACCTACACTGACCAGCAAATGAAACTCAGGGTTCTCGTGATTTTCCAAATAGTGACTGTGTCAGTTCAACTAACACATTCTAGAAGATGAGTCTCCACTCAGAGACTCTCCCACACAGGAGAATAATCCCGACACTCCTCCACCATGCCCTGCCACCGAAACACTGCTACTGTCAAACTATGTGCTTTAGAAAGTCCTGGGGAAGGCCAGGGATTTAGCTCTGTGGTTATGCCGCCTTCCTTGCAAGCACAAGGACCTGAGTTCGATCTCTGGTACCAAAACAAAAGAAAGTCCTGGGGGAATGGAAAGTTCTAGTTACCTAATGTTTGTCTGAGTCTGCTCCTCTCCTCAGGGATTAGGAATTTCAATTCGGGTCCCTGTCAAAGAGCCACACAAGGCTTTATGGAGACGCAGTCCCTACTGAATCTGCTCCATACTACTAGGTTTCTCTGTGTAAAGACAGGAATAAAGAAGCACGCCTCTACTTATATAAAACATGTGGGATTTACTACATGCATTTCTATTAGCCGGCAATGTATTATTATCCAGAGTTAATAATAAGAGGTTGCAATTCTAGAAACCCTTGGTGAAGACATAATAATAAGCATTTTGTAATTTGGGGAGAGAAAGAAATAAGAACAAAATTTATACCTAGCATAGAAATCCTACACTATCTCCCTGATGTTAATATTTTTAAAAAGGTTTCCTTGAGCTTACACATTTTCCTAAACTGAAGCCACCTGTCTGGCCCCACGTGTTTCTGTGGAGTAACGGAACCCGCCTTCCTCATGGTCTGCAGCAAGACCACGCGAAGCGATGGACTCCAGCTTCTATGGGTGAGGTGAGGAGGCGAATTAACTGGCTTGCATTAGCTGATACTTTAAAATTAAAGATTAGGGCTGGGGATTTAGCTCAGTGCTTCCGCCGCCTGCCTCACAAGCACGAGGACCTGAGTTCGATTCCCAATAACAAAAAAGAAAAAAGAAAAGAAAAAGAAGAAGAAAGCAAACATCTTTAAGCACACATTGGTGCACTGTTTGACAAACTCATATTTCAGTGACCGAAACAAACCCTCAATCCTCTACCTCAGGGACGGGGATTTAGCTCAGTGGTTCTGGTGCCTGCCTCGAAAGCACAAGGTCCTGAGTTCAATCCCTGGTACCAAAAGAAAACAAAACAAGTCCTCTACCTCAGAAGCTGTCAAGGGAAAATACTTCTTATCTATGCGATCTTCCTCCTCTTCATCAGGCGGCGGTTTTGCTGGAGGCGGCGGACGTTCTCTCTGCAGAAGGAAAAATAAAGATTCCACTATCTCATCTTCAAGTATCTAACTCCTTGGTTTACCCTTATTTTAGCCCTTGGAAATGAAAAAGAATAAGGTACAGAACTCTTCTTCCAAGAGAGAGAAAGGAGAACTGTGTGTGCACAATTCAACCAGCATGTGCTCCGGTGTCTGATGTTTGTAGCAAAGATCATAAACAGCACTTGCGTGGTGAGCAATGCCAGCACCAAGCTCATAACTGCCTTGAGAGAAAATGTCCTTCATAATGTCAGGGAAAGGAAAATCTGTGGCTCAATTTTCAGACTGCTCTATACAGAGGAATCTTTAGATCAAGAGAACGAACTTATAAAATAGTTCTAAAATCAAAGTTATTGGGGAAGTAACAAGAAAAGTAATTAAGGCCACAGCATTAAGTCCTTTCAAACTTTAACGCTGTGACATCCTTCTAGATCCTCTTACTAGCCAAAGTTCAAAGCTGACCTGTTAGCTAGGTATGGCAGCCCCTACCTACAGTCATAGCCACTTGGGAGGCAGAGGTGGGAGGATTACCTAAAGCCAGGAGTTCGAGGCCCACCTGGGCAACACAGCAAGTCATCTCCTTCCATAATGAATATTACTTACCATCAGTACACAAAAACCTATGTCACCTCAGTCTATTTTAAAAAGAATATTTGTCAGCTCTCTGCCATAAAGCAAGCTTTCCAGTGTGTGTGTATGGTAATGGGGATTAACACTGGGGCCTTCACACTGAGCTATATCCCCAGCCCATTTGCTATACTGAGACAGGGTCTCATTAAATTGCTGTTGAGCAGGCTATGCTCTAACTTGCTATCCTCCTGCCTCAGCCTCCCAGAGTGCTGGGATCACAGGTGTGTGCCACCATGCCCAGCGGGCAAGCATACTCTTAAAGGGTCAAGTAGTAAATATTTTAGGTTTTGAAGTCAACTTTGCCATCTGAGTACATATGGAGCCACAGAAAATATGTAAATTAATGAGTGTGGCTGTCTTCCAATAAAATTTTATTTACAAAAATAGGCAGTTGTAGGTGGGCTTTCATTTGCCACTCCCACCCTAGAGGAAGAAACTCACTGAAGAGGAGACAGTGAGTCAGTCAGATGGCTGAGTGGACAATTTCAGGGATAAACACAGAACAACCCAAGTGAAGGAAACCTGGAAGCTGACAGCCAGAGAGAGGCTCATCACTGCACCTGTAGTGCCTGCAGCACTGTTTGCATTCAACCCAAAGCCTGAGTTATACTTCAGCCCTGTTCCCACGGAAGGGTGTGGGAGCTGGCCGGTTCCTCAGCCTGCAGGTTACTTCACCATGTTGCTAAAACAAGAGCATTTCAGAAGCCAGGGCAGAGCTGAGTGCCGAGGTCCCCAGAGAAACCTACAAAGAAAGACAACTTTCCAATGTGAGGCGCTATCTGCATTAGCATTTCGGCGCCCGCAATCTGCTGGGACATGCTTGGCACGCACCTCCATAAATCAGTCATCTCCACAGTCCCTGAGCCAGGTGGCAAGGGCTGCAGAATAGCCTCGAGTGCTCAAGCCAAACACAGCTACTCAGATCAGGCCTCCCACTGAGTCCCATGCTCCTCACCCTCCTTGGCTCTGAAGCGCAGGAATGAGCCTGGTCCCAGCACACGCCGTAAGAAAGGGAACAGCAAAAGGTGCAGGGCCACGTCCTCCACTGTATACCAAGACAGCAGCCAAGGAGAGCAGAAAGAAACATAGCAAGAACAGAAAGGACTCAGCCCGGAGCCTTCCAGGGTCAAAAGGCCTAGAGAGAAGAATATGAAAGGCTTCTGAGGACGGTGTGACCATTGGGGACAGAGAGGGAAACAGAAGTGCCCAGTGTGGACCAAGGCTGGGGTACAGAGCCAGCGTGGACATCTCATCCATTATGCTTAGCAACATTCGCCCCTCAGCCACTGTTAATTTCCAAGGGCTAGGGGGACAGAACAGCCCCAGTACACAGCAGCGAGATGCGAAGGTGAGCACCCAAAATGCATCATCAGTTTCTACTCAGCGTGACCTTGGGCGGCTGCTTCCTAGGTGCTGCCACTTGCCGGGGCTCCGGCTCCCCCTAATGGGCATCACCTGTAAGCACCAGCTGACGGAAAGCCTTCCTCCACAGCCGATTTGCTTAATGCACTTGAGGTTAACAATGAGCAGGAAAAGACCCAGCTGTGTCTACAGAGTGCTATGTTAGTGGTGCTCAGAGTCTGCACTCACTTTCACCACTCACAAGGGCTCTGTCACCATCCTTGATAACAAGTGGGCAACACGAGACAGGCGGCTCTCCAGGATCCACACTGAAATGTTGGGACTGTTGCAGAACACAGCAGGGCAAAGTAAAGGCCCTCACAAAAAAAGAACAATCCAAGGCCAGTCCCAGGGAACACTTGGAAGGACCAAGGATTACCGAGCAGCCAGGGGAGCATCAAGACGGTCATATGCCAGACGAAGAGCAAAAGGGAAAGGCAGCTTCCATGGGACTCTGTCCCATGGGGTCAGCACTGGGGAACTGTCAGAGCCTGGCCAGAGTAGCTACTGCCAATGAGCAATGCTGCAAGCCTGGAAATGCCTGGCAATGCAGAAGGGAGGGTCATGGGACACTGATTCAGGCCTAAGCTCAGAGCACAACCCTAGGGAAGAAGAGAGAGTGCGGAGTCTTGAGAACCATGTATAAGCCTGGAAGTAAAAGTCAGCGCCAGACAAGAAGGGTGAGACTGGAAGGTGGCCCTTGAGAAAGAAAAGAGCAGCGTTATCCTCAGCCTATTCGCCCAGTGGCTGGAGATGTTATAACTGGATAAAGGGGGAATGCCACGGACAAAGGAACACAATGTCTGACGAGCCTTTCTATAACCCAGCTGAACACAGAACCTGCCCAAATTCAAATGTATCTCACCCTGTGGGCCAGGAAGGGGCGCGTGCACTCAGAGCAGACAGGAACTCATTTCACTGTGTACTTGTGCTCTCCAGAGAGGACACAAACAATACATGGCAAAGACCCAAAGACAGAAGCAGCATTAGGCTGAACAGAAATGAAAGACTTTAATTTGCTCTTGGCCAGCGAAGTAATGGAAAGACACAAACCAGTTACACTAAAATTAGAAAAATCAAAATCCTGCCTCTGTGTCATCTGTATAGTTTTGCCACTCTGATCAAGAGGGGGACATGGCAGAGCTCTACGAGGAAGAGCAGAACAAGGGGACCCAGGTCCCTCTTCCTGGAGCCCATGGCAGCCAGCACAGCCTGGGGGCCCCGGCCACATACAGGCCTCACTCCAGCAGTCCTTGGGCCGGCAGCCTCGGCCTCCCTGCTTGTGGACTCTCGGTCCGATGACCGGCCGCTGGTCGAGCTGTCCAGCGAGTGGCAGGAGATGGCATTGTACAGAGCCTCGTAGGGTCCCTCTTCTTCGGCGCTGGTATCAAAATCGATGATCAGCTCAGTCACCACTTTCTCCGTGTCACCTGGGGAGGGTGGAGGGCAAGTCAGTCAGTAAAAGGGGGCAAAATCTCAGGTTCCACCCCCAAGCCTCTCCAGCGATCTGAACTCAACAGACAGTGACCCAGACTGGAAAAAGACTACTTTGCTCCAGGGCAGGAATAAATAATGTGGATTTTCAGCAGCTCTTCATACCCTGAGATTTAAACAGATCTTTCTCCAATTCAATAAGGAGGGGCTGGGGGTACAGTTTAGGGGTATGGCTCTTGCTTAGCAGGAACACTGCCCTGGGTTTGATCCCCAGCACTGGAACAAAACAACAACAAAAAGAAAACTTTCGACATCTATAAGGGATCTCTTCCAAGATGTTTATAAAGGCCCCAAATACACCCAAACCATAAGACCATAAACTTAGCCCACAAAATACAGCAAAGTATAACTAAAAAACTTAAGGAAACCTATACTAAGGGCCTCTACATGCTCAAGTAGAGGGCGGCAGGCTTCCCGCAAGGCAGGCTCTGCGCGGCCATGGGACTCACTTCCTAGATTGGCTCCCGACCTCAGATCCTGTGAGATCCGAATTTGTAACCGCAAAACAGTCAGCTGTTAGAGAAGCTGACCTTCTCTAGGTGGCTTGTATATAGTCAAAACTATAAATGTAAAAGCCTTGAAAGCTAAGCACTTAGTCAGTGTTTAATCCCATTACCAGCAGATTACGAGGTGAAGGGAAAAAATGCAGGCTGGAGGGAGACGAGGAATCCGCAGCAGAGCCAGGCTGGGCACTCGGAACCCTGTCTCTGCGGATGCCTTCCTGTTTTCATGGCCAGTGCCACTCTCCTTCTCTCACCTTATCTACTATGTGTGTCTGGGGGAAGGTGTCGGTCGGTCTGTTTTGTTTCTGTCATCCATCACAGCAAGGACCCCGAAGGCTGCTCAATCCATCAGAAAGAGATCCTGGCTAATGACGGAGGGGCCAGACTGCCCACATCAGCACCCAGGCCACCTCTGCTGGCCAGATGATACATCACCAAAACATGCCACTGAGACACATCTGCCAACCAGCAGACGCTCATTACACGTTTACTGCGGCCTGACTATGCGCCAGGCACTGCAGTGTATGTAAGAAAAAGGTTTCACTGGGATGTGAATTCATCTTGACATGAGCCTGTCAATCACATTCCAGAGCCAACTGTGCGGGTGGAGAACAAAATAAAGTAGGAAAGAAGGGGCCACAGGCAAAGGCGTAAGCCATGGCCAGTAAGACTTCATATAGTAGTTGGAAAAAGTAAGCTGAATATAAACTTACTAAGAGCTCACAGCCCTCACTCATTATTATTTGAATTAGGATTTTCCATTCTGCCCAAGAATATTCAACTTTTTCCAAGCTGAGCACCCCATTCCCGGCAGGCAAGAGTCTCCTCACCCTGAGACTTCTTCGATACAGAGTCCATGCCAGAGAGGAAAGGCGGCTGGGGTGTGGAGGTTTTATCTATGTCTTTTGCACTTCTTTTTCCAGTCATGTGATCTATATGGAAAGATTAGAAATAAAAGGAAAAAAACAGCTGCACCAAACACAAATGCCTCAGCTCGGCTGTATGACCTCAGCCACCCAGATGGTGAGATGGACGGATACCTTCAATAAGTGCTGCTATCTGCTGGCTCTTCTGGGAAGGCAGCTCCCGGACAGTGTCTAGGGCAGTCAGTCCATGGTTATCTTTTATGTTGACATCAATTCCTAGAAAGGCACACCAGGTGGACCAGGGGAGTGAGTGTTTTTATGCTAGACTGAAAGAAGGTCAAATTCCAGGATGCCTAAGGCTCCCAAGCAGCATGTAATTTTTATCCACAGCCATTTAATCCAGCTATTTAGAAACAATTCACACATTTAAAATCAACCAGCAGAGACACACATACACTGGGTTCAAATGCAGCCAGCAAAAAATTCCCCTCCAGGGAGGCTAAGGTGAAACAATCCCATCCCTGGCATGCTGTGGAGACAAGAGCACTGCCGACCTCTCACCTGCAGCCAGCAGGATTTGCACCACATCGGTCTTGCCAAACAAAGCAGCCTCATGCAAAGCACTGCCCATCTCCGTCTGGAAGGCAAACGAGAGCGCAGAGCAGGCCGTCATCAGAACAGTTCAGCGTGGCTCCACATGACAAACGGGACACGGACAGGAAGGGATGGGACAGTAAACTACACCGAGCCCTCTGCTATTATCTTTCCAACTTTTCTGCTCTGGATTCCAAAAGCACAATCTCGGTCCATAGACAAGGTCATGTGTGTGCCGCCAGCAGGCCACATGTGAGCAACCATTGCTCATCTATCAGTGAAACTTCCCAGAACGCCACCGTCCTGGGTAAAATGAGTAACGAGAACAGAAATGAGGGTTGGCCCATGCCAAGCTCAAGGGACCGCTCATCTGAATGAAGAAGGCAAACGGTGACGGAAAAACGCTACACTGATGAGACTCTGAAGGTGCAAAAGATGGCAGTAGGAACAGATTTTTAGGCAGATAATGAAACTTTTCTGATTCTGACAGTGTCCATTAGCACGTCTTTTCAGGGTTTAATGATTACGTCTCATCCCCTACAAAGAAACCAGAAAACTAACAGATTCATGAGGAGAACTCATTTGTCTCTTGAGTTTCACACTAAAACGAGTTGACGGATGGAAGCACCTGAGACGTGATGTGGAACGTGCTAATCAGAACACAGCCCAGCAGCATGGTATGAGAGCCTTTCCCGAAAAGACTGAGTCCCTGGCGCTGGGAGGAGCACCAGCCCTGCTACCTGGTAGTTGCTATCCATGCCAGCATCGAGGAGGACCTGGACCACAGCCTTGTGGCCGTTCCGCGCCGCCAGGTGCAGAGGCGTGTGCTTCTTGGTGTTGCAGCTCAGGAGGTTGGGGTGGGCGTTCAGCAGCATCTTCACCACCTCCAGCCGCCCATAGAGTGCTGCCAGGTCCAGAGGGGTCTCGAATTTGTTGTTGCGCATGGTGGGGTCCGTGAGCTCCTCCAAGAGCACCTTTACCACCTCCCTGTGGCCATACTGCGCAGCGCAATGCAGGGCCGTCTCGTTGTCGTTGTTCTGAAGGGTTAACAAGCACAGCACATCAGAAAAGTGACTGGTGGGCTGGCCTCTGGCTGTGATAATCACACATAAAACCACTGAAATTTAAATGAGAAGAATAGCAGCAACACTCGAGGACTAATCAAAGCCAGAATCTAGGCTGCTCCCCCCAAAGAAGCCTGTCTGCAGCCATCAGTCACATCTTTCCTGCTTCCTGCAAGAGGGGAGCAGTCGGTCACCCCAAAGCATTTGCAGTCTCAAGTGTGCTCTGAAGGATGCACCTCTAGACCATCAGGAGAGTGAACAGGGGAACACGGCGGGCACTGGACAGACGTCCTGGCACAGGTAAATACTGATTGTATCACTGCCATCGTTTCATTTTAAACTTCAACTGATTTTACAGTAATTTGTATTGTTCAACCCTGCGGTTCTGACTCCGGATTTGTCAACCATCCATTGCCCTTCACACAAGCTTTGTTTTCTTTGTAGCTTCCTGCATGCAAATCAATCAGCCAACGATGACAGTTACAAAGCACAGCACCAAAAACCACTCTCAGGGGATCGACCAACAGCCACTTCCCAGGCAGGAGGCATGGGGCTGAGTCTCGGGGCACAGGGGACCTGCCTGACCACCAGCCAATGCATGCAGTAGCCAATTCATTAAAACAGCAGCCAGCACACAGGAGCGTGGTGTGAGAGGTGCAAAATACTGTATTGCAATGTAACACTGCCTCAATTCATATTCGTAATCCCCAGTCCTCTAATGCCAACTTTGTCTCAAGCCAAACCAGTCTAGAATGAAATGGGAGAACTGTGCTTTATCAATCACCACAAGCAAAATGCTATTCATTCTAATTATGTCCTTTTACTGTTATTGATAACATGTAATTAGAGCAGAAATAATTTCTACGACCACTCCCTTTGGAGAAGCATGAATGAAAATAATTCTCCCACAAGACTTTGAGATTCCCAAATTGACTCAGGAAGCTTCTGTCACTTTTGGGAGACAAAGCTTAAGAGGGGCTTGTCCACCAAGTCAATATTGTGCACCTTTCAGCGGTCAAAGGTAAAAATTAACTGTTTCTATGATTGCTTTAATTCTATTAATGACATTTAAAAGTAACAGATTAGGAGTTACCCAAACATGCATGCAATTCATTCCATCTGCTTTTGATCTGCATTTGACTGCATCATTTTTTCCAGCTGTACCAAGTGTACCACAAATATCCAGAGCTGCTGGGAGGAGGGCCCCAAGGGGCCGGAATGACAGCAGAGAAAATGTGAAAATAAGGACAGAAAAGGTGGTAGCAGGAGCACATCCAGATAGAGGCACAGGAATAAACAGGGTGGAGGGAGCAGTGCAGGGCCAGACACAGCCATCACAGCCATGGAACCCAGCAGCAGCAGCGGCCTCCTGCAGAAACAGCGCCCAAGGGGTGACTCCACGCCAACCCAGAAGTCCTGAGGAGGGAGAAACACTGGGCAGAAACCAGTTCCCCAGGTTCCTGTGCTTAACGAACTACCTGGAATACCCCCTCGAAATGCCCACTTCCTCTTAAGCTGTGGCCTGAGCTTCCTGAGCAGAACTTGTCCTTCTGATGACAACACAGCTATATCAACATCATGTAAGCTTTCTGCAGAGCGAGTCTGGGCCAGAGTGGAAGCCCACAGAAGCTTAAGAGGAGTTTCCAGGTTTTACAGCTCAAGAATAGCATGACACCAAGGGCCAAGAAGGCAGCTTATTCTTATTAAAATTCCACTCCAGAAAAACTTCTATTTACTCCAAAGCAAACGGTACTGTGTCTTTCACAGCCAAATTGTCTCCCAACATCCAGAATAATTTGTGCTTGATTTTGTAAAAAGTATGGCATTAGGGTCTGAAGAAATAAACATAAAACTGTAACCCATGCAGAGGGCTCCGAAGGTGGAGCCCGGCCCCACCTTCCAGAACAAAGACAGCACAAAGCTGCCCTGCTAAAGGTGTTTAAATTCTTGATCATCACCAGCAAATTTCTTGCCTTACATTAAATGGTCCAGCCACATCTCTGCAGAAAGTTACGCATGAATTCACAGTAGAGGAAGCATCTTGGGATGCTTTGGTCTTACAGACCTGGTCTAGCAATTATAATCCTCTAGGGTCTAAGTCTGTAGTTACCACATACAGCTCTCTACCACTGAACTCATCATCACAATGAGCTCGTAATGTTTCCTCTTTGAGTTTGACAACTATCAGTATATGAAGTCATTAAGCATTGATTCATGGACCCACAAGAAAGGGAAGGACTCCAAGGAGAGGCCAAGACTGCTAATCATCTGGAATCCTTCCATTTCACACCTTCAAGCCGGGGGACTTAGCTCAGTGGTGCTGCCGCCTCCCTCGCAAGCACAAGGTCCCGAGTTCAATCTCCCGTATCAAAAAAACCCCCAAACAAACCCATTTCACACCTTCAAGTAATACCATGGGTGCTCACACCATCTCAAGAGTTCACTGCATCAGCTAGGTGTGGTGCCCCATGCCGGTAAGCCCAACTACTTGGGAAGCTAAGGCACAAGGATCATGAGTTTGAGTCCAGCAGCCTGGACAACTTAGTAAGATTCTATCTCAAAATAAAAAATGAGAAGGGCTAGGTGTAGCTCATTGGTTGAGCACTTGCCTAGTGTATGCAATGGTCCTGGATTTAATCTTCAGCACTGTTAAAAAAAAAAAAGAAAAAAAGAGTTCCCAGGACTGTATCACTATGAGTCTGGATGGAGGGAGTATTAGATAAAATACTCCCAATTTTCATCCAAATCCTTGGCACAAATGCCTCATTCCTACCCATCTTGCAACCCATCACTTTCACTTTTCTTTGCTATGGTCAGTACCTCTAAGGAAAAAGGGATCTGTATGAAGACTCCCTACATCTGAATACTCCACTGTGAAGCTCTCGCATGCGCGTGCGCGCACACACACACACACACACACACACAGTATAAGTGACAGAAAATCATACAGAAACATACATCTCCTCGGCCTTCTCTTCTTGGAACTACTCAGGTCAGTACCATCATTTCCCAGTGCTCTGATTACAGCTGAAGGCACAGTTAGTTAGTTACCCACGGCTGACAGAGATGGAGAAGACACAGGGGAAGCAGGAGAATGAGCCCATCATTCAAAGAACAAGTTAGACTTAACTCAACACTCAGTGCTCTTAACCACTCTGTAAGACTCTGGAAAGCGGAACTCGGACAAAAGCATAGAAGCTTTAGGAAGACAGACGGCAACGAAACGAAAGAAACTGCAAACCAGTGAAATGCAAGAACAGGCTGTCAATTCTGTTTGCTTGCAGGCAAACCAAACAAGTAAGTAATTAAAATAAAGGACAGATGGCTGACCTTTCAGGTGATAAAGGCAGCAAAAAGCTGCTCTGCTAAAATCTTGGTGGTTCTCAGACTAGTTTCATTTTGGAATTATAGGCAAGCTGAAAAACAACTAGCAAGTTGGTCCAACCTGACTTGCGGAAGAGGCACCTCAGAGGCCTAGAAAATTATTATTTAAGTTATCAACCCCGCCGCAGGTCCCAAATTAAGCAAAAAATCATCATCATCAAGAATGAGAGAAGCTGACATTCCGTGCTTTGTGACCTGAAATTACTAACAAAGGTCACAAATTACTTCTGCAGCCTTCCTGCCCCAAGTGTGGCACCTGGTTCTAATCACAAGGGAATGGCAAGCAAACTGAGGACCCTTTTAAGAAACAGCTGGCCTATGCTCTTAAAAAATGTCAACATCCTGAAAGACAAGAAAGGTGGAGGAACTATTCCATGTTGTGTCTGATCCTGGGTTGGATCCTGGACCAGGGAAAATGCTCTAAAGGATTTTACTGGGCCACCTGGCAAATATGAATATGGATTCTATGTTAGATACCAATATTGCATCAATTCTGAATTTTCTGAAATTGATAATTATATTGTAGTTTTATAAATGAATGTCCTTATTCTTAAGAGATTTGGGTTGAAGAACTAATTAACACTAAGTTGAAGTATTTAAGATTAAAAAGCCCTGATATCTGTGGCTTAATCTCACACACACACACACACACACACACACACACACACACACACACACAGAGCAAATGAGCCACATGTTAACAATGGAGCAAGAAGAAACAAGTATTCAGAAGTATTTCCACACTGCAGTTCAATGCATTATTCTTAAGTTGGAAATTTTTCAAGATATAGTAAAAAGCTTTTTCAAAGCTCTCAAGGTGATTCTGATCTCAAAAATCAGGAGAACTGGAGACAACTGATCTCAGGCCCTTCCTTCTCTGAGACTCTGAATTATCTTTACCTGAACAGGAAAACAAATCTACCCTAAAACAAACTTGACTGTTGTTCATTTTGTGATTTTCAGGTTAAGTTATAAAAAATGTTTTAAAAGGAAGGAAATGGATACTTTTCAAGGTGCTACCTTAGCTATGGATGATTTACAACTGGACTGACTTATGCTGACTTGGAAGACAGGAGAAGCCCCAAGTGTTGAAGAGGAATGGCAAAGCTCAGGAAGACCACACCTGCCCCAGAAAGGCAGCTAAGATGTCAGTGCCTGACAGGAGTTAGCTTTCAAACGTAATTTAGCAAAATAATTCCTCAACACAAGCCAAGTCAATAATACCCCACTGACTCAGGACAAAACCTAGGAGGTGAGATGGGACGCAGCCCCTGCACCCTCACTGCGACCGCTTAATGTCGTGTGTATCCTTTGGCTTCCCAGGGTGGCGGGAGAAAGGGCGCTATTTCCAAATCAAGAAGTATGTTCTTACTGCATTTAGACCAATTTGCTTTTATGTGTCCAAAACCAAAGGCTAGGAAAATGTACTTTCAAGAATCAAAGTCATATCCTCTCACCAAAGCTTTATAAGGCAATGAAATCGATGATTAGGAAAATAATAACCTCAAGCCCCCTCCCCCACAAAACCCTGACTGAGCAGAGATTCATTAACCATCACTGACTAGTAATAAACACAGATTCCAAAATGGCTTTCGAGAAATAAACTATATACATTATTATTATTATTATTATTATTATTATTATTATTATTATTTTGCAGCACTGGGGATTGAGCTACATCCTCAGCCCTTTTTATCTTTTATTTTGAGACAGGGTTTTGCTAAGTCACTAAGTCAGACTGGGCTTGAATTTAGGATCTTCCTCCCTCAGCCTCCCAGAGTGCTGGGATTATAAGTGGGCACCACCGCGCCTGGCTGTGCATTCTCTTACTAAAACTCCAAAACAAAAGCCAGGCACAGTGGCATATGCATGTGATCTAGCTAATGGAGAGGCTGAGGCAGGAGCATTACAAACTTGACTCCACCCTAGGAAACTCAGTGAGTCTGTCTCAAAAAACAAGGGCTGGTGTAGACTGGTTGCCTAGCATGGATGAGGCCCTGAATTCAATTCCTGGTACCACAAAAACAGAACAAAGACCTACACCAATCCAGCATGGTAGGTGGTGATATCCATTCTACAGAACAGGAAACCAATTTCAGAGAAGTTAGGCAGCTTGCTCAAGTCAACAAAACCAAAATGTGGCAACCTAAACCAAACTCAAACTTGGCCTGTGGGGAAAGCCTCTGTATAACTCGAGAGTTTTCTTCTCTAATGCTCTACTCTCCCCTCACCAAGAAAGGCAACTAAAATATAGTATCTTCCTATTCGGCAACACGAATTAAAAGAGAAGACAGAGTGAAGGAGCGTCAAAACAAGGGGCGTGAGGCCCACAGCCCTGGGTCCAGCAGCTTCTCCACCTGCGAGAGCCCTACAGCCCCAGTCACCCTGCAGAGGGAGGGGCGGCGCTAGCTAAACCAGCCTCTCAGTGAGAAGCCCAAAATCTGCCTCGTGTTTAGAGAGCGAGTAAGGAAGTAGCTAATGTGGACAATGCAGCATCTCAGCCAAACTCCAGATTGCGGTCCAAAAGCAAACTTCATCTGACTCAAGCTTCTGAGTGCAAACACAGCAGGCTCGAGTGCCCGAGGGTGCCCCAATCCTGGCCGAGCCTCGAGGTGCAGGCCCTGAGGGCATAGGGGCTGGTTGGCATCAGCACGCCACTGGGCCACGGCTCGTCTGGGCTGCCTGGCTAGCGTTCTACTGGGCCCTGCCACCTCACTTCCCCCTCAGAGCCCTCCATGGGTCAAGGGTGACGAGCGGGAGGAGGAGGTGAGCTGAGGAGACGGGACTGATGCCAGGCCACAGAGCACCACGTGAGAGAGCACGGCACCAGGAGATGAGAGGGAGGTGAGCGAGTGACAGCTTCCGAAGGGAGGCGGTGGAGTCGCTTGTCCTGCCCTCACCTCTGCCAGGGCTACTGCAACTGATGGGAAATCAGATTTCACTTCAAAAGAAATCTGGAAAGCGGACTAAAACAACTTTTTTGGATTCCAGGAAGTACAACTTAATCATTTTTCTACACTTATTTAAAAGTAAGCTAATTTACTGGAATAATTTTTCTTTTTAAAATTTCAATGATTTTTAAAATCTCAATAGTAAGTTAAGCATACAACACTTTCTCTCCAATTCCTCCATTTCCACTGTTTCTGATGTCCCTAACAGTCCCAGAATTAGTATGGGTTTTAAAAATAACCCCCAAACCCACTGCAGCTGCCTTCTTCCATTCTCAGACAAGCCAAAAGCAGATGGGCTGGAGCGGACAGCAGTCAGTGTGAGGAGCCAGAGTGGCCGAGAGCAGAAGCCAGAGAGGCCCGGGGAGGAGGCACAGCGCGAGCAATGATGCAGAGGAATCCTGGCAGCAAGTACACACCTTGGCATTGATATAAGGGTCAAAGGGGCCGTACTTTTTGAGTTCTTTGCTCTCAAGAGTATTCTACAAAAAGGAGAGGAGAAGAAAATGTGATGATAAAATGGATGAATTATATCAAAGCAAAACACAGGGGGGTGCAACATGAGAACTCAAATCTGCCCTTTGGATGCCCCATAAGGAAGTTAATGGGAAGACAACCGCCAGGGCACCTCATTCTATGCCCCCATCTAAGCATCCAATTGGAACCACATTAATGGTTTTTAAGTAAATCAATGTCATGCCTGTAACTACCTAATGCATTAGGTTCTTCGAGCGAGTGCAGACACCCTGGCTGGCCCCCACCCAGCCACCTGCCTGCCCAATACTTAGAGCCCTAGGCTGGTGCCCCACCTATCAGCACAGACTCCAGGCAGGAGGCAGCTATGAGCAGGAAAAGCTAGCACATCAAGTGGCCCAAAAATCCAAGCAGCTGTGTTCCAAGGCAAGAGTGGGCAAAGACAGGGTCAGGAATGCCTGCTGGAAACTGCTTAAATAAGACTTTAATGGTGACCAGAATTTTCAATATTGAAGAATATTAGTTACAAGCAAGCTTCCTTATGGATCTCCTCCAGAGAAGAGAAGCTATCACTTCAGTCAGGAGCATCTCCATTTAGACTTGGAAGGGGCAATTTTCTTTCCAAATGTTATGGGTGAACATCCTTGCTGATGACCATGTGTCTGTCGCTACCTTCCAAGAAAACAGAGCCCTAAAGGGGAAAGGCAAGCTGATTAACAGCCACATACAAGCTCCAAATCGAGATACTTGAGACCTCTAATTCTCTCATGCCTCAGAGAGCAGCCGCCCTTCTCAGCACCAAGGTCACGTTTTTAACGGAACAACTCACTAGGCCTGGCTGGCATGGGTCTTGCTGACAGGTGGATTCACCAGGATGATTTCCTGTTTTGGGAGGAAAAACCTTGAGCTAATCCTACGGGTAATTTAACAATCTCCTCTCGTGAAGCTTACTGAGAAAGAGCAGCAGCTCCCTCATCCAAGCAACAAGAGAAGCACCTGCTGCAGCTCAGAGCCTCGGACACAGGAGTGGTTGTCATGGAGGCAGGCCCAGCTCCTCGCCAATGCCACACAGCCTCAGTCCACAGCCTAGGGAGGAGGATGCCAGAGAGGCCTGGACACTTGCATGAGTCAAGTGGCACTTCCCCAGAGGAAGGCATGGGAAGAAGAGGAAGCATATTCCAACACCACTTAAATCCAGGGCCATTGCAAGGTGTTTTGTTTTTTAATGGTGACTTACTTATTTTCTAAGAATGATCTCTGTTTTTGCAAAGCATGTAAACACTGAAATTAACATCTGGGGACATCCTGGAAATGACCTTCATCCCACTGAATCACCTCTGACCTTCATTCACACCTTTCTGATTTCTGAATTCATCTTTCAGCAGTAACACGAGTATTTGCACTTCTGCACCTTCAGGGGTACATAAAATAACAAGATGCTAGGGCCGGGGATTTAGCTCGGTGGTTCTGCTGCCTGGCCTGCAAGCACAAGGACCTGAGTTTGGTCCCCAGTACCAAAAAAAACCCAAAAAAACAAAAAACGAAGATGCTCACGTAGGACTCACAAACACTGGGAAAGCTGCACTGCCATGCCCATAACATAAGCACCATTGTCAATTAACTAAGCCCACCAGTCTGAAGTTGACTGTAAGTTTGAAGGGCTTGCATTATTTCAGATTTTGCACGTCCAGTGAACATTATACACTATATTATTATAGTGAGTAATCATACTACCATTTGAAATCTGCATGAGTCAAATGCATATAAGATGCATCCTCATGTGCAAGATTTCCCTGACACGTGGGGAGGAGTGGGAGTGAGAACAACAGAGTCACAGTGGGTATGGAAGAGCTGGTTCCCCGGGATCTGCGCTCTAGGAATGAGACAGCGATGGGTGGCCAGGGCTGGCTTAGCTGCGTGTGGCTGAATGGAGGAGGGAGCAAAGCCTCCCTTCTTCCAACCTGTTCATTGACTTTGGTGTGCGAGGGCCCTTGGTGGATGAGCAAGCGCACTATCTGGGCATCTCCTTTCCAGGCTGCCAAGTGCAGGGGGTAACAGCCTTTAGAGTCAGCCACATTGGTCAGCGCGTCGTTCCTCAGAAGAACCTCGACCACATCCCTGGAAGGCAAAAATCAATCGTGAGGCTCCAGAGCACTGAAGTCTTTCCTTCCATTTGCGCAGCACGGAGCCCTCTCATGGACAGGATCTCACCGGGCTGCCCTCTGTCTCCCTGAGCTCTCTGCCTGGCTTTCCCCTCTGTAACATGAGCTACCTGTGCAGGTCCTAAGTGGCCAAACCACCCTGAGCTGTGCTACACTGACTCATTACCTCTCTGTTGGCCTTTCTTGATATCCATCTATGTTCCATTAGTTTAGAAACATGTGGGGCCAGGGATTTAGCTCAGTGGCACAGCGCCTGCCTGGCAAGATCAAGGTCCTGAGTTCGATCCCTGGTACCAAAAAAAAACCCCAAAAAACAACCATCTGAACTCTGTCTAAACCTTGCAGTGTTTCCACATTTCTGATGTTTAAACAGCAGTCAGGGATAGAATTTACATAAAAACAGTTAAACAAGACAAATGTCACTGTTCACTGGATTATTCAGATTGTGTAGGGATGTGGGAGACAAAAGCAGACAGGCAAAGCAGAATTCAAAATTGCTGCAAACATAAGCCAGACACATATGGTATCATTTGATAGCTCCAAAAAGAGGGGCTTGGCTTTCTTCTTGGTGACACCATTAATTAAGCAGATACCAGTGTACAATTATCCCCATGCACATGAGGCCAAAGAAAATCCTCCCCACAAATAAAAACACCATGGGAGATGAACTAGGCGACAGTCCTTTGAGTTCAAGACTCACTTTAAATCAGGTTATCTCACTAGTTAAGGGGGGAGTCGTCTCTGTAAGATTTTTTTTCCAGCTTTAAGCTGAATATAGAAAAAACACAGTGATCACACTCAATATACTTTAGAAAATTTAATGTTGAAGGAAACAATTGTGGTCTCTTTTTGGAGTCAATCCAGCTGGACCAAATATTGGACAAGTAATGTAGAACACTACAGTGTAATGTGAGCCTGCTCCTTGCTCTGGAAAATCTAAAATGAGGGGCTTCGGGTGTGGCTCAGAAGTACAGGGTGTATGTGGCATGTGTGAAGTCCTAGGTGCAATCCTGAAAAAAGGAAGAGGAATAAAAAGAATAAACTATACTGACTACAATAATCCCTCCTCATGAAAACTAAACTTCTACTGCTCATCTCCTATAATATTTTGCTTCAAACTCTCTTTAATAACCTCTGTTCTGTTGCGCTCTGGTTTCCATTCTTTGCACTGGGGAGCCCTACTCAGGCTGCTGTGCACCTGCCTCTCTGCTGGGCTGCCACACAGCCTTCCCTTGGCAGGCAGAGCTCAGGCCTTTAAGCCTCTCCCTTCTCTTGGACTCCTTTGCAGCACGCCTCCTCCAGGAGACTTTCCACCCAAGGGCCGCCCAGTTCCACACTAATAGCAATAAACAGGCCAGGTTATTTATGCGCTTTTCCCCCTCAAATTGGTTCTTGTTCACAGGGCTGGTTTTATGGGGACAGAATAGCAGCAGGCAAGTAAAGAGCGTAAATAAATAACTGCTCCAACAGAAGGCAAGTTTCTCAGTACTGCTCAGCCTATTTCCAGTTTATCAAAGGGTTAATCACCCAGCACTCCAGCCCTAAACTGGATCTTCACTCTAGTATCATTGTGTGACAATGGAACACTGCATCACAGAAAGGACAGGCAGAGGAAGAGGTGAATTCAACCTGTATTGCTGGGGGACAGGGTGGGGCGGGAAAGGACGTTTAAACTATACTAAGCTAAAGACAAACTCGGGGAATTCGGGCGCAGGCTAAATGACTTTTTCTCTTCCTCAGGGCCATGCTTAGCCAATTCTTACCAGGCAAAAAGGACACCCAAGGGTGTGGGCATGGGCGTGGGCCAGGCAGGGAGGAAGCTCATACTTACTTGTGGCCATTCAGAGCGGCGTGGTGCAGCGGTGTATAGCCAGTGCTGTCAACGCAGTTCACATTTGGCCCTCTCCACATGCTAACAGGGAAAAAAAGAGACAGGTTTCACAGAATGAAGTCAGGGAACAAAGTTAGGGACAGCTGGCTACTTGGAAAGACCGAACGGGAGGCTTGACACAGCTCCTGAGGACGCCCAGCAGGTGAACGCTACAGAAATGGGCAGCAAGGAGGGTGCACAACACTCTGCAAGGCCAGGAGTCCAGCATCCAGGCCGCAGAGTCACCGAGAGAGCCTATTCTGCACCCTTCCGCTCGCCTGTAACTGCGTCATCAGTTCTGTCTGGGACTCTCACCTCAGCGTGCTCCCAGCTCACTGAAAGGTCATCAAAAATCCCACAAACCAAAGCCCTCAGACGGATGCTGGTACTGAACCCCCACCCTCTGCTGGTGATGGATGGCACAGAACACACAATGGAGACCACTGCACCAGGGAGGGGCACTATCAACACCAGGACACATGCGTTAAGGCACAAGTGACAAGTGTGCCTTTCCTCTGTGCATACAGCCAGCCCTCCTTGATCAGGAGTTCCAACTCAGACACAAATAACTGCAGGCCGAAACTATTCAGATCAAAAATGCGCCTGTCTGAGCACGTACTGACCACAGCAGAACAACCACTTACACGGCATTTACACTGTCCTAGGTATCAGAGGTAATCTAGAGAAAGATTTAATACACATACAGGAAAATGTGTGTAGATAATATCCAAATATGCCACTGCTTATAAGAGCTTGAGCATTTGAGGACTTAAGTGTCTTCGAACCAGTCCAAGGGTACTGAAGAATGAATGTCTCACTCGTGTGTGTGTGTGTGTGAGAACAGAACAGTCTGAGTGCTTTGTCTGAATCAGAAATACATGGAGTACGTGTGTCACTATTTAATTATCAAAGACTTCATTCTTATTCCTGTTTCATACCTCACTGCATTGGCCCAACCTTGTCTCTTTCTAAAAAGAACACTTCTGTTGGTTTACGGTACGCACTCTGTAAAGTACTGACAAGGCATTTCTCCCCTGCTTTTTATTTTTTATTTTATTGACTGATTGTGGTGCTGGGGATTGAAGCCAGGGCCTCATACATGCGGGGTAATCGCTCTACCACTGGGCTAGACCTCATCCCCTTTCTTTTTAAAGCACTATGAAAGCTATGCAATTGTTTAATTTAAATCAATTTTCTGCATCAATGGAGCTATCACTGTTTTTCACATTTAATAATTTAAATATGTTATCATTAGGTTTCTTAAGTTGAGCCATTCTTTCCCTCTTGGAATACATTTTATTCGGTTGTTATCTACCAGAGCCTTGATGAAATCTACTTGAGAATATCATTTGAGAATTGATTTGGATTTTCACATCTATATTTATAAGTGAGCTGGTTTAAAGTTTTTGCTTTTTTGCTATTACTATTGGATAGTATCGGTGTTAGGTTTGGGTGACAGATCAACTAGGCAGCTGTCTCATTTCTATATTGAGGAATCGCTGATATAAAGCACTAAAATTACAGAGACTTATCAGTAAAACCACCCTGGCCCAGAGCCTTTAATAACCTCAGATGGTGAAGGCAGCATTACTTACAACAAGGACATTGTGGACATATGCATCAATAGAGAAATTATTATAACTATAGTACAAGCATAGAGTAGAATAGCATATACTAGTTGTATTGCTCTGTAATAAGAAATTATAATCAATGTTAATGAGAAAAAAATCAAATTTATGAACGTGATATAATTATAATTCAGAAAAAATCTATGAGAAAAATTTAACAGAACAGTAGACTGAGTTAACAAGAATGTTTCTTCTACTGCTTAATGTTTTATGAAGTAATGGAAAGAATATAGTATTCTACTCTACACTGAGACATATAGGTAGGTAGACAGACAGATGAATTCAGCCCCGCAAAAATAAGAAACGATGTCATGAAAGAACTGACAAAGTTAGGAATTCTCAAAAGGCAGAAAACAGACAAGTTCAGATCTACAGAGACACAATCTAAAAGAATACAAATTATAATAATCAAATATCACTTTTCACCCATCAGATGGATAAAATGAAAATAATGACATTATCAAGTGTTTGAAAACAAGCACTGTTAAACACCACTGGTAAGAGTTTAAATTGGTGAGTTACTCTGGGAAGACAATCTGGCAGCATCTATCCAAACCAAAAATAGCATTCACTTTGAGCCAGCAATTCCACTCCCAGGCAGCTATCCAACAGAAACATTTGTACATGTGCTCAAAGACACACGCCTGCACAGGACTGCTTCACTGGAAGAGTGAAAGATTAAAACCTTAACATCAATAGGCAAGTACCTAAAATTAGGCATACCCATAAAATGAAATACTACCCAACCATTAACAACAACAACAAAGCTGTAACTGTATGTCCTCATGCGGAAAGATTTCCCCAGACAGACTCTGCTATGGTTCAGTGAAAAACAGAAGTCACTGCACAACAGACTCTGAGCCCCTCTCTATAAACATACTGTACATGTACACCTCAGGTATGGACAATGGCTAAAACTGAGGACTGTCGGTGGCTACTCTGGGGAAGGAAACTTGTGTGTCAGAGGGCACTGTGGAATGGAGAACACAGTCTGCCATATTCTGTTCTGTATTCTACCACTGTTTAGAACACTTACATTGCGACTCTATTCATGTTGTCCTTTTATTATTTTTTTATTTTTGGGTTTTTGAGATAGGATTTTGCAATGCGGTTCAGGCTGGCCTTAAACTCTCCTGCCTCAGCCTCCCAAATGCTGGGATATAAGGCAGCACCACCATGGCTGTCTACTTTTATAATAATTTTTAAAGGGAAAAGGGAGAGGAAATATGCACAAGGAAAACAATGCAACAAGATGATAATAATAAATAGTTAAAAAGGAGTGACAAGTCACTTTAATAACCATGTAGATGTTGGGCTTAAAATCTTAAGAAAAGTGGGATTCTGCACTGCAAAGGAAACAATCAACAGCAAAGAGACAACCTATGGAATGGGGGGAAATATTTGCAAGTCATATATACGACAAGAGGTCAACATCTAAAATATATAAGAAACTCTAATTAAGTGTATTGTATACCTAAAATGTACCAATAAACTTAATCAAAAAATAAATAAATTAAATAAATATATAAGAAATTCAATGGCAAGAAAATAACCCCAGTCAAAAATGAGCCCAGGACCTGAAAAGACAAATGGCTGTCAGGGATATGCAAACATGCTCAACATCGTTAGTCATCAGGGAACTGCCAATCAGAAACACAGTGTAGCATTCACATCTGTCAGAATAGCCACTGTGGAAAGCGTCAGTGAGAGTGTAGTGAAGAGAGGACACTCTCACACGGCTGGCAGGAATGCAAATCATACAGCCCTTATGGAAAGAGGTATGGCAGGTCCTCAGAAACTGAAAACTACAACAACCCTACGGTCCAGCAATCCCGCTACAAGGCATACACCTGAAGGAAATGGGATTGTGATGCTGAAGAGAGGTCTGCACTCCCGCATTCACTGCAGCACTATTGACACAGCCAAGGTAGAGAAGACACAAGTGATCACTTCCATGTAGAACCTAGAGAAGTGGGACTCGGAGTACAGGAGCGCATGGCAGTTCCAGAGGCTGGGATGAGGGGGACAGGAGGCAGGAGGAATAGCTGGGCACCGGATACGAAATTTTAGTCAGATAGGAGGGTCAAGGTCCAAGAGCTCTACTTTACAGTATGGTGGTTGTAATCGGTAGCACTGCACTGTATTTCTGAAAAATCACTATATTACCACCACAGAACTACCGTATATGCATTGACATATTATGTTAACTAGCTAGATACATTCCACAACGTATGCATATTTCAGAACATCATGTTGTGGACTGGGGATTTAGCTCAGTGGTTCTGCCGTCTGCCTCAAAATATCATGTTGTACATGATATATATAAATTGCTCTTGTCATTTTAAAAATAAAGCATGCTCCAAACAAAGAGTTACAAGCAATTATTTCTTGTCATCACACCTGTACAATGACCTCATTTTCAAAACCAAGAATTATGTCTGACAATGAATGAGAATATGGAGAGTTAGTCAGGCCTGGAAAATCTAAGAGATAGAGTTTTCAGTTACTTTCAAATTGTCACACAAGACAGTCATCATATACCATAGAATAGGTGATATTAAAAATCCAAAAACTATTTGCCCAAATCACAAAGCAAATCTGTGGCAGATCTAAAAGTCTAGAGCTCTTGGCATTTGGTCAAAGAAAGACTTTAGGATCTAACTGGAATGACCGCATGAACTAAATACACAGTAATAGGAGCTTTACATAATTCAATAGCATGATGAGTGGCTAAGCCAACAGGAGCTGAGAGAGAGGAATTATCGATACCCGGTAAAGCAGCTGGCAGTGCAGGCCTCCAGCAACCAATCAGGACTTGTTAGGACTCTGCTATCTCTTCCACTAGCGCAGCTCAGGTCCGAAAGCAACCTTTAAAGTAAAGGTTCCACTGCCTTTTATTTTATCAAAAGGCAGGACTGGGCAAGCCCTCCGACATTTTCTTTTACCTCCATAACTCTGGTTTAGAGCAGTTGAGTTGGGATATCCTACACCAGCATTAAAACTCCCTCACAACAGAAAAGGTGAGGAAGACAAGCAGGAAACTTCTCAAAGGAAGCTACATTCCCAAGCTTCTCCCCATCTCTCCTTTCTCTAGTTAGCATCTCCTCAAAATGGTCATCTAGAAATTCCAGGGACTGTGGAATGCATTAGGCAAACCCAAAATGAAAACAGAGAGCTGGAATCTCCCTATTTGGTATTTTAGCTTCAGACAGGATGGTAGTAACATCCCCTCCACTCAAGTTTCTTCCTCTTTGGCAGCGCAAGAAAGGAGCTATTTACAAGCTCCCTATCACAGCTGTCCTATTAGGTTTTGCGAAAACAGTAGGTGACAAAGAGCTGCTCACCACCAAACAACAGCAGAGTACAAAGCACCAAGAGAACCAGGGGGAAAACTTACAACACAGGCCCTGAGATTCCTGAACAAAGCTTACCTGTCCAGATTCTGCAGCCAAGCCTGGGACCTGCAGAATAAACCTAAGCTAATTGAGATGAGTCTCAGAGCAGGGTCGGTGTCCTGGGTGGAACCGAGGTTGAGAATCTGGCTCTGTGGTCAGCAGACCTGGTCTCAAAACTTGCCTGTACAGTTGTGTGGCCTTAAACAGTTCGCTTGGCCCTCCACGCCGCTCTCTGCAACTGTTGGTGCCATGTTGAGCTTCCGAGGACTTCAATCCTTCATGGGAACTGAAAATTGTAGAAGCCTGAGCCGTCCAATAGCATCAGGCTGAGGGCCTAGAGTCACACACAGCCAGCTGCCTCGGCAGCACGTGGCAATGCAGCAAGCCTTGTTCCTGGGCCTCAGAAGCATCTACACTTTAGACGGCATCTGAACACATTGCAGAGGGCAAGAACAGGGACCTCTGGAGTTGGGTGGCTGGAAGGAGACTGTCTTTAGAGCTTGCGTGTCCAATGGTCCATCAACACTCACAACTAAATTTCCTATCACTTTTCACACCTACCAAAACCCTGGCAAAGGCTTGGTGTGCAACTGCTATGAGTCTTTGTGAAGTCAAATAAGAACAGAAAAAAAAAAACAAACCCACACTCTGATGTCCCCAGATCCGTGATCCGTTTGCTGTGTAATCTTACTCCACACCTGTGGAGTTCATCCACCACCACTCCCCACAGTATCTATCACATGTGATGTGAGCCGCAGGGTGTGCTCCACACTGCCCGTTCTAACGTAGGGCTCCCCTCCCGTTTCCAAGAACACAGCACTGTGTAAGGATTTCCAGGGCCACCAGTTTGCAACTTCTAACATTCAGTGTTTACCGTGCAGATCATTAATCCCCTCCCGCCAACTCAGAGTCCTGCCAACCCTCAACCAACATGAACCCAGTATGGAAGGAATGCTGTGCACTGGAACAAATCCATGACATTTGTGGCCATTAAAAATGGCAACAATGTCTTGATAAGGCATACAAGAATACTGCGCTGGAGCTGTTTGAAGTGGCTTTGAGCTGGCAGTAAAGTGCTTCATGTGGTTGCCCAGCTACTGCTAGACGACATATCGTGAGCCAGACAGCATCCAATCCAGGCCAGCTCAATCATGTTTATGCCTGTGAGAGTCAGCCATCGGTGATCCAAGTCAGGAGGCCACACTGGTCTACAGTGCGTGCCACTCTGCGAAGGAAGCTACCAAGTGGCTCATGCGGAATGAGAATAGGAGCCTCTATGAAAGAGGAGATATGTGAGCTGAGTCTTGAAAGCTTCGGAGGAAGCAGCCAGGCAGAAGCAAAAAGGGGCAACTCAAATTTAAGGTCCTTACAAAGTGGGGCAACTGCAAGTAGCTTCGAGTGGCTGGAGCCTCGAGGGAAAGAATGAGAATGCAAGGTTGAAGCAGCGGGCGGGTGGCATCAGGCGGGGCCTGTGTGACCAGAGAGGAGAGTAGGGAACGCACGTTTCAGGGAAGCCCTCCTGCTGACAGCTGGGAGGGGGCACTCAGAGGCTCAATTCATTATTCACCATCATGTCCTGATGACCTCACACGTTTCAGAATTTTAAGAATCACAATGCTGGGATGTGAGGGCAGGTGATCTGGCTGCGACCTCTGTCACCACACTGATCGCCAGGGTTGATTGGGCTGAGCTGGCTGGCCGGGCGGGGGTCCCCTTCCTCCCTCACCGCGCCATGTGCGTCCCTCCCGAAGCTGCGCTCTCAGTCGAAGAGGACAACCACCCCGATAGAGGAGGACCGTTTCCTCGGTCAAGGGTATACAAGTAGCTGCGCTACCCTGCTAGAACCTCCAAACAAGCTCTTAAGAATCAAGACGCTGGCAAGTTGTACAGACGGGAACTGGGAGGGTGTGACTAGATCCAGGGAGTCTGGAGGAAGTGAGCAGCGATTCAGGCACGAGGTGAGGACTTTGGCGGTAAGGGGGGCAGAAAAAAGAGGATAAACTCAATAGCAAAGATAGGACCTGGCCATGAGATGCCAGAGGAGGGAGGTGGGGTCGGGAGGACCGGCAGAGTGTGCGGACAGCGAGAGAGGTTTCAGGAGGAAAGTCAGGGCTGCTCTGGGCGTGAGGCAACGGGGACAGGGGAGAGGGTTTGTTCAGGCTGAAGTGGATTTTGACTCCCACACGCAGATATCCATGAGCAGGTGGCTATGAAGGTCCACCAGTGATGGCGAACCTTTTAGAGCTTCCAATGACACAGACAGCCCGCTGTGGCACATGAGCCATAGGTCCACCACCACCGATCTAGACCATGGTTACAAACTACACAGTTTAAGATGACAACGCTCAAATGTTGGCATGCATGTTTTCTGTATCTGACCCTTCCAACAATAATACAGGGTAAGAAAACAGGCCTATGTCCATTTTACAGGTAAGAAACTGAAGTGCAACCAACTTGCTGATTATCATACAGCTAACTAAATAAAAACTGAAACAAAACCCCACATTCGACCTTGACCGTGTGTTCCTTTTAATTTTTCGAGATCCTTGACCTTGAATGCTGAAAGCAGTGGCTTGGAGTTCTGTGGCTCGATTCCTGTATTTGCTCTCAGGAGGTCAAAGACTCTCAAAGACTCTCCTGGGTCAGGAAAGGCCTTTTGGACCAGGACTCTGTAAAGGGGCAGTGGCAATGCACTGGAGGGCAGGAGAGATCCTGGCCAGCTCTCCATCGAGTCCTCATTAAATCCTAAGGTCTAAACAGGAGTTTGTCTCATCAGTCTTTATCTGCCAAAGGCCTTCACTGTTGTCTTCTGATTATCCTGCAAAGCCACTATTATCTCTGAGCCTCAAGAAGGGATGGCAGTGTTCCAATGCAATGAAACATTCTCCAAAGTCAGTCTAATTTAAAAAAGACTCCCTCTCACTCAAATGAATCTGACACATCCTTACTAAAATACTTTCTACATATTTAATGGTTGAGGGTAAAAGGAGAAACACAAGGAGTCTATGAAACCATCCCCACTCTCAGGGAAGCTTGTGATCTTCAGAGAAAGACAAAACTTACAGCCCGAAACAGTCCCAAACCCCCAAACAAGAGCCGATGGAGTTAACTGTGAAAACATGAACAAGTGCTTTTATTTCTGCTCCTTCCAAAGCCATTAAAATAAGAGTAAAAATAAAATAGGTCACAAGGAATAGGAGAGAAGATGGCAGTAAAGACATCAAAGGTTTTTGGAAAGACATACAGTAGGTAAGTTAGCAGAGTTGACAAAGCGAACCCCCAGTGTAGTGTACTGCACACCAATTCCCGAGCCAGGGCTGGGAGGGCTCAGCGACCAGAGAGGCACAAGCAGGCGAGAGATGAGGGGGCTGACACAGAACCGACATGAATTCTGTATAAAGAGGCGTCAGACCACCTCTGCCCCTCTGCTGCGGGGCAGCCAGGAGACTCTTACTTTACCCCTTTATCCAGGTAGCAGGACGTAGATTTAGTCTTGAAGACCCAGACACGCAAGTTGGGTGTAGCGATGTAATCTCAGCCCATCAGGATGCTCTTGCCAACCAGCACTGGGAAAACTGATTATTCACACTCAGAAGGTGGAAGCTAAACCCCTATCTCTCACCACGCACTTATCTTCAAGACATAAGTGTAGTCAAGGACTTTCTGAACTGAACTGCAATTGCACAAGAAATAACATCAAGAATCAATAAATGGGATTATTTCAAATTAAAAAGCTTCTGCACAGCAAAGGAACCCACCAATGGAGTGAAGAGAACACCCACAGAATGTGAAAAAAACCCAGACCCTCCAAATTTGAAACCCCAATCAAAAAAAGAGCATCTGAAATGAATAGACACTTCTCAGATGAAAAGTACAAACGGCCAATAAGGTACATAAAAAAATGGTCAACATTACCGGCCATTTGAGAAATGCAAATTAAAATAATACTAAGATTATATCTCACTCCAGAAAGAATGGGTATCATCAAAAAAATCAAATGAGGGCTGAGGATTTAGTTCAGTGGTTCTGATGCCCACCTGACGAGCATAATGTCCCGAGTTCAATCCCTCGTACAAAAAAAAAAATCAAATGATAACAAATGCTATCGAAGTTGCGGGGGGGGGGGGCTTTTACACTGTTGGGGGTTCAACCACTATGGAAATCAGTATGGAGATTCCTCAAAAAACTAAAACTAGAAATTCCATTTGAACCAGCTATTCCCCTTCTAAGTATCTGCCCAAAAGAGTTAAAACCATATTACAGTGATACATGCAAACCCATGTTTACAGCACCACAACTCACAATAAGTAAATCTGGAAAGTGGCCTGTATGCCCATTCATATGTTCTTTATGAATGGATAAAGAAAATGTGGCATTTATACTCAATGGAGTACTACTGTGCCATAAAGGATAAATTTGAGTCATCTGTAGGAAAATGGATGCACCTTGAGACCATATGTTATGTACTATAAATAAAGACACACAGCTTAAAAATCACATGGTTTGTCTTATAGGAGGAACCCAAAAGATAAATAAAATAAAGAGCAAAATAAAAGACATAATAGGAAAACAGGGAAGGGGCCGCCCTTCTGCATAAGGGAAGGGGCCCAAGAAATAGAGGAAAGGTGAAGGGAAGGGAGGGGAAGAGAAAAGAATTAAGCTATGTCACATACTTGTACCAACTCATGATGAATGTGATAATTATGTACCACATATGGCCACTAATAAAAATTTTCAACATTTTTTAAAAGTACAAATGGCCAGTAAGTACATGAAAATGTGCTCAGTGCCTTTGGCCATTAGGGAAATGCAAATCACAACAACCCTGAGATTCCATCTTATCTGGGTCTGAATGTCTACCATCAGGAACACAAACAACAAATGCCGGTGTGGCTGCCCCACACCAAACCCTTCTACATTGTTGGTGGGAATGTAAACTAGTACAACCACTGGTACAACCACTACGGAAATCAGTACAGAGATTCCTCAAAATACTAAAACTAGAAATTCTATTTGACCCAGCTATACCTCTCCTGGATATACTGCTGAAAGAGCTAAAGAAACCATATTATAATAATACATGCACACCTATATTTATAGCAGTGCAATTCAAAATAGCTACGCTCTGGCAATAGCCTAGATGCCCATTAATAGGCAAATGGATAAAGAAAATGTGGTATATATACATAATAGAATACTATTCAGCCATAAAGAAGAATGAAATTATATCACTTGCAGGAAAACAGAACTTAAAGCCGTAAGTGAAATAAATCAGACACAGAAAGTTAAATATCACACGGTATTTTTTATATTAGAAACCTAAAACATAGAGTAAAATAAAGTAAAAGTAGTAAGAAACAAAAAGGCAGACTTGTTGGAGACAGAGAAGGGGATCGGGACAAGAGGAGGGAAACGTGGGAGGTAAAGGGATAGAAGAGAATCCAGATACATTATATACATGTATCAATTCCCCAAAACAAGCGGTAAATAATAATCATGATGCACTGCAAACATACTTTTTTTTTTTTAAGATAACATAGTTCCAGAGAGGGGAAAAAACAGCTCACACAAGGGCTGAGTGGGCTCAGAATTTTCAGCAGCATCTCTGGAAGCCATAAAAGACAGCAGCAAGGTTCTCCAAATTCTCAGGTGAAATGCTTCCCAACCTAGAATTCTACAACATGTAAATTACCCATCAAGTTTTAAAAAGACACTAAAGATATTTTTAGACAAAGAGGGTCTCAAATTTTACCTCCCACACACCCTTGCATCAGGGAATCAAATGGAGGCCACGTTCTACCCAACAAATGGGCAAACCCAGAAAGGGGGAGGTGAGCGTGCAGGAGGCGGGGCACAGGGACTCAGCCACTCTGCGGGGGGGGGGGGTGCCACTATGTTACCTAGGTGTCCTACAAGGACCATGACCAAATTCCCACTCCATCAGACATGGAGACAAAAATGCACCACAATGTGGTACCTGCAGATGCTAAGGGAGCTCAGAAGGGCTTGGACATATGGGATTTCATCAGCAAGGGAAGGGGAAGCTGGGGGATCGTCCCCTCTGCCACACTCCAGTGCTGTCAGAGCACAGCGCTCCTCCCGAAGGGCAGAGCCCTTGGTGGCTCCTTGCAGGGACCCGTCGCCTTCACACAAGGCTCTCAGGACACAGCTCTGTGCTCATCCTTCTTTCACTGGTTTTCTCACCAGACCCTGAGCAGCTCAGGAGCAGATCCACACACATTCTGTCACCGCTGCACCCTCAGAGCGGCTCAGCACTGCACCTGCACTTTCTGACAGCGCAAAGGGAGAGTGAGAGTCCACACCTAAGGACACAGGAGGGGCTTGCCATTTAAAGAAAGTATGGCAGAACTCGTTTTTAGATGACAGACACTACTTATAAGGACTCAGATGCCTTTTCCTAAGTTATTTTTGGGAAAATAATTTACTAAGTAGCTGTGCACACTCATCCCTCTGAGACATGCTGTCTCAAAAGAAAAGGCAAAATTTCTTCTGCGAGTGCCTCTGGGTTCAAGGGTTCTAAAGAATGATTTGCTTCCTGATGTGTCAAAGTCCAAGAGGGCTGAGGTAGGAAGGAAAGATGGCTTAGTCTGTCACATGTTTGGGGGCACAGAGGACGCCACAGTAGGAAAATCCTATGTCCTGGCTGCTATCTGTTGCACCAGCATAATAACTAACAGCACCTACTCACGCTTTACTCCACCCAGACTTCCAGACCTCTTTCTCAGAACATTGTATCAAAAGGGCCTAGAAATCACAGACAATGCTTATTAAAAGTTACTATAACCCAAGTATACCCTAAGTGGATGTGAAAACCGACTATTGCCTGTTTTTGAGACATGGTCTTGTTATGCTGCCCAGGCTGCTCTCAAACTCCTGGGCTCAGGTGAACTTGCTGCCTTAGCCTCTTGGCTCACCTGGTTCTTTTGTTATGCTGTGGTTGTTTTTTCAATAATCCACTACTTACCTCTCACAAGAACCAGAGAAGGGAACCTGACAAGTGTGGAGGTGAACACTTAACCAGGTTCACAGAGCCGAAAGGGTAACACTGGTTGAACTCCAAAATCTTAACCACTGTGCTTGAAAAACGGCTTCTCTCCTCACTGCTGCTCTCATTCCCCACAGCTCATATTCCTTCATCTCCACCTGTTCGAATCCCCTGCTCATACATCTTGACTTGCTCTTTTTCTTTTTCTCCAGGGTCACAGGAAACCAATAAAGAGCAAGTGCTGAGGAGGAGGGGCCCCGTGTTCCAGGTAGGAAATGGGTCCCAGAGGGAAAAGAGCAGAAGTAGTTAACTGAGGACTTCATTAACATTTCCAGAAATCCAATTAGCTGACAAACTGTTACTTAAGGTAACTACTGAAAGCATCAACACTAGGACGACAGTTACAAAGTGAATTCATTTAATTGTAGAGTATTTAAGATGATTATTATATTGTTTTAAGAAAATTAAAGTACAAGATTTTTCAATATAGAAATAATATATCCAAAAGGGATGAATGCTTCAAATGAAATTTATCATGAGATTGATTCTAGGTCCTACAGACACCATATGTTACTTCCTCAATGTTCCAAGGTGCCACAGACCAAAACGGTATTCTGAATGTGGTTAATATGTAAGCTGAATGGCAAGGACTGAAATTTATTTATTTTTCTTTTCTTTTTTTCTTTTTTTGGTCTTCTGAGACAGGGTCTCACTATGTAGTTCAGGCTGGCCTTGAAATCACTATGTAGCCCAGGCTGCCCTATAACTTGAGAGATCCTCCTGCCTCAGCCCCCAGAGTGCTGGGATTACAGGCATGTGCCACCACGCCCAGCTGAAATTTATTCTTCACACATGCAACTGACCCATGTGTAAATGCTGGACTTAAATACACATCAGCTGGACATTTTCTAGGAAATTAAGAGAGATGATTTTCATCTAACTGGAATTATCTACAAAAATGGAGCTACTCCTGCCCTATCACCCCCTTCTGAGTTATTTTACGAAACAAATGGACAAATCTATGTAAAAAAAAGTATAAACTGGAAAATAGGTGCTTATATCTGCAACTCCTTCCAGTCTACAATTTGGTGTAGACAATATCTCAAGTGAGGCCAGGCCATGTAAAGAATGAGACCAGTGGATGTGCGCTGACAGGAAAAACACCTAAGATATCTGAAGTGGGAAGCGCGCCTGCAGACCAGTACGTAGAGTGTGATCTCATTTCTGGAAGCACAGAGTGTTTTTCTAGGCTTATACTAACCGTAACCAGACTTCGGCCTGATCAGCTCGGGCAGTGAGGTAATAAAACAGACACGGGCCGCCTCCTTCCCACTGGGCCTTGGCCCTGGACCCGCAGGCCACCAGCCCGGCTCTAGCTAGAATCCTGCTCGGTGAGCCTGGAAGCCCCTTCATATCTCATCACGCTTACTCATCACATCCCTGAGCTGGGATACCGAAGACCTTGGCCTCCATCAGCAAAAATCCTGTCAGGTCAGCTCAGCAGGAACCCGACCCTAGCACCCCAGCGGAGCTGTCCTCCCCGGGCTACACAGCCCCACGGCCCTTGCTCCATCTGGAGTTCAGCCGGATCCTTGTCGCTGAGGGCACTATCCTTCTTCTGATGGTATTCAAGTCTTCCTTACCCTTTCAAAAAGTGTCGGGATCATTTTTTTCTTCAAACCTCTCCCTATGCTTGTTTTTGCTTTTAAATTTAAGAGAAGCCAGATCTACTGCACAGAGAAGTGGGCTTCCAGTTAGGAAATCTGTGAAAGCGGAAAGCGTTCAGGGTTCTGGGTTCTGGGGAACATTTATTTCTACATTTCGCCTCCTTTTTTAAAAGTCTCCTGTGGTCTCTGACTTTTCCAGGCTGGAGAATGAACATCAGTTACTCCCCTCTGCTTCTGAAGGGACTTCTTCAATTACAGAGGCCAGGAGGCACCTCGCCCCAGTGACCCGTCCCCAGGGGAGGCGACCAAGCTGTCAGTGATCTCAAAGGCTCCCGGATTTTGGAAGCGCCGTAGGAAATGCACATAAGGGTTGCGTGCCTCCAGTGGAGGTGACAGCCGAGGTGAGGGGCGGTGAATGGGTCAACTAGGGATTTACCAAATCCCAGATATTTTATATCCTAAAACAGCTCACAAATTTGTCTCTTCCTCTCCATTTCCAAAGACAGTTTTACTCTGAAAACAACCTCTCTAAAATGATCTTGACTGCCTCAAGTCTCTGCCTCCGTCAACCACTACTTCCTTTCCCAACGCTTCCCCGATTGATGGGCTGTTGTCCTGTTAGGTGCTCCGTCACCCACAGGCACACTCCCAGCCTGGGCCCCCGGCCCCGTCCCACTGCCTGTCCGGATCCACCCTCCCCTGCACTCCGGGGACTCACCCACCCACCTGCTACCTGTGTCTGCCTGCCTGTCGCTCTCCCTGCTCTGCCCCATCTCAGTCTTTGTGAAATCCTCTTATTTTTAGTGACCCACTAAGAGCTCTGAACAGACAGATATAGAAGGTGATTTGCGAGGCTCAGAATCCCTTCCTGTTGGGCAAGTCTGGAAACAGTTTGGTACTCTGAGTCCAGAGGAAAGAACAGGGTGAGGTTAGACCTATGGACTGCTGTGCCCCAGGCCCTCCCCAGGTGGGGCCAGCCTGGCACCAGGGCCAGGGCAGAGCCTTCTTAAGATTCGTCAAGAGACTCGGGATAGATGAGGAACTGCCCCTTTCGCTGATCCCTTTCACTAGAAAGCCCCTTTCAGCTCTATATGCCTGAGGTGACTTTCTCAAGTGGACCATTTCCTTTCAAGTTACATTAGTTCAGGAAGGAAACATGGTAATTATTTCTGAAAATACAAGCTTACAGGTTATACAGAACAAATTCTGCTGCTTTAAGCTTTTCTGTTTAAACTCATTTTTAAAGAGCTCATTTCTCCAATAAGTTAGTAAGCACCACAGCCACTTAGTTGTAACTTCTGTAGTAAAAACAGCTGAACAAGGCAAATTACTGTGAAACATTAAAAAAAAAAAAGACAGAAAACAAAAACATTTTGGCTTTAACTAAGTCCAGGTTTTTCTCACTTTCTTTGTCTCTGTTGGTAATATGCTTAGTTTAATCCTGGTGCCTATCTCAGGAACTCTGAGATCTGTATTTAATCAACATTCCAAATCTGCTCTAGCAAATTTTTTGTTAAATTCTCTTCCTAGCTTTCTCAAAAGGCACCCAGTACCTTGTCCTTGGAATTTTTCCAAAAATAACCACTCACTCTGGATAACGAAGAACCCCGGCAAACACCTGGCTAAATGCAGCAGCAACCTGCTATGTGCAGAACTCCCTGCTAAGGAGGAAGGGGCTTGGTCATGAGGGGTACAGAGGAAACAGTTTGCCAAGCTAGCTGGCCTTCCCACAAATAGCTTTCTGCTTCCCAGATTTTAAATTTTCAAGTCAAGAGGCAGCCATTTACAACAACCAAACTTCATGTGGGTAGAAACAGAGCTTCACAGATCAAAGAACAAGAGGAAATTTTTCTTATCACATACTTATGGCCCTAGAGTATAAACAAATCCAAAAATTCTTTAATATGTCTAATAGATGTGGTATTAGAAGAGCAAATGTTGTAATACTGTCTATTATGTACTAGGTTACCATAGTAAATACCTAATATATATTAACTCTACTTTCTATACCAAACAGTAAAATAAGAATTTCCATTTTTAACATGCTCAGAGAGGGAAATCACTCATCCAAGAACACACATTTCATAAGGGAAACCAGCATGTAAACTTCTGCCTGACTCTAAAGTCCATACTACTCTTTACTACTCACTTACCTCAGCCAATGGTCTGACCAATTCACCTACCTGCTGGGTCTCAGAACTGTTCTGTTGATAATGAAAGCCTTGGAAAGCCTATGCACTCCAAAAAGTTTGAATGATATGCCTGCATCAGCTCCTAACTCCTATGCCTTTATACACACACATGTCTAACAACTAACGGTAAAATTCAGAGACCGCTCAAAGCTAAACTACTATGGTTCTAAACTGTAATATGAACCAAAATCCCACATTCCAAATTAGTTCTCTGAAAAGATCAAAAAAATTGATAACATCTTGCCAAGCTAACTAAGAAAAAGAAGAGAAGACACAAATTATTAAAATCAAGAAGGATAGAGAGCCATCGTCACTAGTATTTCGGACATGAAAAGAATATTTTAAACAACTTCATGCTCAGAAATTTGATAACTTTCTTGAAATAAATTCCTTGAAAGCCACAACCTACCAAACTTCATTCAAGGAGGAAAAGACTATCTTCTTTTTTTTTTTTTTTTTGGTACCGGGGATCGAACTTGGGACCTTGCCCTTGCGAGGCAGGTGCTGGAACCACTGAGCTAAATCCCCAGCCTGGAAAAAACTATCTTAACAGGTCTGTATCAAAGAAACTGAATCAACAATTAATAACCATATAAAACAAAAAGCACCACCCCCAGATGGTTTCACTGCTAAATTCTACCAAACATTTAAAGAAGAAATGAATCAGCTGTCTACAAACTCTTCCAGAAAACAGAAGAGGAAATACTTCCTAACTCATTCTATGAGACCACCATTACGCTGATACCCAAACCAGAAAACATTACAAAAAAAGAAAACTATGGACTGTTATCTCTCATGACACAGATACAGAAATCCAACAAAAGACAGCAAATCAAATACAACAGAGTATAAAAAGAATTGCACACCATTATCAAGTGGTATGTATTCCAGGTATGAAGGACCTGTTCAACATTCAAAAATCAATTAATGTCAACAAGCTAAAGAAGAAAAGTCATATGATCATACCAACATGTGCAGAAAAAGCATTTGACAAAATTCAAAACTCATTCATGACCAAAATCTCAGAAAACTTGGAATAGTGAGAAACTTTCTTAATTTGATAGTCTACAAATAAAACTAGACACTAGCATGCTTAATAGTGAGAAACTAGGTATTTTTGCCTGAAAGCAGGAACAAGGATACCCCCTCACAACTTCTATTCAAATTCATACTAGAAATCTTAACTAACGCAGTAAGAAAAGGAAATAAAAGGTATACAGATTAAGAAGGAAAAAAATTAATATGCCTTTGTTTGCAGATGACATGACTATCTGCACAGGAAAAATTATCCAAAAGGATTGGCAAAAAAAACCCAAATCATGTAACTATTAAGCAAGGTAACAGGATACAAGGTTAATATACAAAAGTCACTTGTTTTCCTATCAGCAATGCACAATTAGAATTTGAAATTTAAAGCCAAAAGATTTAGTTTAAATAATGAAATATTTTAGTATACATCGTGTGTGTGTGTGTATGTGTGTGTGTGTGTGTACTAAGGATTGAACCCAGGACCTTCACTTTCACACTGAGCTACAGCCCCAGTCCTTTTTTATTTTATTTTGAGACAGGGTTTCTCTAAGTTGCTAAACTGCCTGTGCAAGAATAAAGGAGTGAGGGGCCGGGGATGTAGCTCAGTGGCACTGTACTGCATCTCCCTGGCAAGCACAAGGTCCTGACTTTGATCCCCGGTGCTGCAAAAAAAAAATTTTTTTAAATAAAAATAAGTAGAAGATATGAACAGATACTTCACCAAAGTAGATACCCAGGTGGCAAATAAGCATGTGAAAAAATGCTGAGCACCATATGTCATTAGAAACTGTAAGTTAGAAAAATGAGTCACACTATAGAACCCATTAGAATGACTAAAACTTAAAACATGACCCCGAATGCTCTAAGGATGAACTCTCGTTCATTGCTGGTGGGAATACAGAATGACACATCCACTTTGAAACACAAGCAGGGCAGTTTTCACAAAGCTAAATTTAGGCTAACCATGTGATTCACATTCCCAGGTATTTACCCTGATGAGCTGAAAACAGATCCACATAAAAACTTGCACACAAATCTTTACAGCAGCTCTATGCATCATTGCCCAAACTTGGAAGCAACCAAAATGTTCTTCAGCAGATGAATGAATAACCAACTTCAGCACATCCATCCATCCAATAGGACATTATTCAGGGATAAAAAGAAATGAGGTATCAAAACCACAAAAAAATTGGAGGAGTTTTAAATGCACAAGTGCAAGAGGCTACTGTGAAAAGGCTATAGATTGTATGATTCCAACTACCTCACATTCCAAAGGCAAAACTACAGAGACAGTAAAAAGATCGGTGCCCGCCAGGCTTCGGGGTGCCGAGGACAGCGGTGAACAGATAAGCGCTGTGCCACGCGTGGCAGGCACTTTCCTCTCAGGTTTGCAGGCCAGGTCATGTACTCTGCTTCCCTGAAATTTCTTCAAACCATGAGCAGCTGTCAATGTTAAGTGACTAAAGTTACCCCAGGAACGTCAGAAAATCTGATTAATGATTAATGGATTAAAAAAATAAAAGCCATCCATTCTCTTTATTAGATAGAAATACTTGCTAATTCAATATTCATTCACGATTTTAAAAAGCTACTCAATTAACAACAGTAATATTTTTAAAAATTTATTTTCTTTTTTTGTTTTTCTGGTACTGGGGATTGAACTCAGGACCTTTTCGCTTGTGAGGCAGGCGCGGTGCCACTGGGCTAACTCTCCCTGGTCCAACATCAATAATATATTAAGTGGAAAAAAAGACAAGGTCCAGTTATGTATCATCATCAAAACAAAAATGGACTACATTTGTATAAACATGAAAAAAATCTGAAAATATACACATACAGTTATTGGAAGGACGGAAAAGAGGAAGAACATTTCACAGATTTTTACATTTTACTTTTTCATCGAGAAGATATATTATTTCAATAATTTTTAAATGATATTTTAGGAAGTTACAACCAATAGTACCCCTGATCTTGGTTCACTTAATTTTATGTGAAAAATATAGAAAACTATCTAAGAATCAACAGAAAAAAATACTTCTCAATTTTACAGACCGATGCAAATTAAATCATCTCTCACTTCCGTTTTCCCTCCTAGTTCTCTTCCCTGTCCTGTGCGGACACGCAGCCTCCCCGGGCCCCTCAAGGATACAGGTCATTCCAAGCATACGGCCCTGATATTCTGCACGCTGATTACACACATTTTTCAAAAGAAACAATGTGAAACAGCATATGCAGGGCTTCCCGGATCCATCCTCAGGTCAGTAACCCACGCTGGCTGACACGGAGTGCTTGGTAAGATAAGGACTATAATTAATCTTTCCACTATCTTCTGAGTTTTCCAGGGCTCGCTATGTGGAATCCTAACTTTAGAGACTCAAAGTACTCATCAGACAGGACACGCTGTTCTGAAAGTCACGTAGCTGCTGATTCCGCAGCTCTCCTGGCCCTGGGGAAGAAGCGTGCGTGCGTGTGTGGGGCTGAGAACTCCACGTGGAGGCGACAGCACAGTGGCCATATCCACGGCCC